AATTAAAATTTATATTGTTACGAATTTGGTATTTAAAAAGCTAATGTTAGTTCAATTACAAATTAAATGGTTTTATTTCTCGCGCAGTGCAGCGCGTGACGAATATTAAAAGAAAGCTAAGCCGAAAAAATTGAAAATACAAGAGCGCGTGCATTAAATAAATAAATATCTCTTTTTGATTTCGAGAAAGTACTGGAAAATTCTAGCGCGTGATTTTAAAATCTTATAAAAGGAGGAAAACATCTCAGTTTGCAGTTAGTTGTTGCTTAGTTTGTTGTTGTTTAGAAAAACTGCTCTTGCTGATTGTAGCGAATTCGCGGATTAGCGTTCTTTAGCCGTTTGAATTACGTTCTATTGGACATTTGAGTAGTTAAAAGATAACTACTGTGAGATATTGTAATACTGCATGATAATTTGAGAAAATTTAAGCATTTTTTTTGTTGTGATAATAATAAATTTTTGTTCATTTTTCATCGGACTTGTGCATTCATTTCATAACGAACCCGTACGCACGCAACAATATTTTCGTTGTCTATATTATTGCGTGCGTACTGGTTCGTAATGGATTTAATGCAAAAGATGTTAAAAAGTTAATAAAATTTATTCTTATCCTAAGAAATTAAACAAAATGCTGAAATTTCCTCAGAGATCTTCGTACAATATCACCATATCTCATAGTAGTTATATTTTAAACTACTAAAACGTTAAGTAAATGTTAAGTAGTTAAATAAATGCATAAATTGAAACAATACATTGTGTACAGTGCAAATCTGTACGTAATTCAAATTAATTTACAATCTAGGATCGCGTTCCGAAAGGACCGTAATATTCATAGTCATGGTTTTTGGAATTTATTGAATTAAATACAGGGTGTTTATAAAGTCCCGAATCCATTTTGATGTTTAGTAACTCATAAAATAACGAAGATATAAACAAACTTATGGCATTTATTGATGGAATAACTTAATGTTTTCCATTTCAGGTTTGAATATCTTTAGTTTTGTAAATATCGTCTGCACGTGTGGTTAATTTCTGATAATTTCATTTTCCAGTCTAAATATCTGTACTTTTCTAAATATCGTCTGCTTATTAATTGCATTTTTGTCTCTTTTGTTTTTGGCAACTATTGCAATGTTATGTTTACTTTTTATGTGTTTGTTCTAGTACTTTTGTATGCGATGTTTTATTCCAGAATTTATGCCAGAATTACAACCGCAATAGCCTCTGTGGATGCCGACATGCTTGCCGGTACCTGGCGTGAAACTGAATATCGACTTGATATTCTCCGTGCGACGAAGGGGGCACACGTAGAAATTCATTGACAAGGGTCATGAAACTTTTTGAGTCGATCTAACCATTTATGTTATTAATTTTAATCTATATTATTTTATGAGTTATTAAAACATCAAAATGGGTCCGGGACTTTATTAACAACCTGTATTTTGGACCTTTTCCGATATCGTGCAATATGCACCAAACAATTTCTGTTATACGTTCCAATTTAATAGTTACGGCCTATTTCATTGTGATTTATTTTAATACTTGTGAAAACGCCGTAATAATTCTTTTCATTGCCTCTGAACCGACAATGTTGTCTATTGGCCATTTTTAAATTAAATAACGTGTTATTGGCCACCTTTAAATTAATATCGTGTTGTTCTTATGCGTTATGATTAGATATAATTGGACAAGGCTAACGGGAAATCTTAAAATCTTGGAAAGGGCTTGTGGCTGTAGATCTGCCTTTTTACCTGATATCGGTCATTTTAAAACAGATGGAATATTATTTAGAACAACGACAGCAAGAGGAATTTAATTAATGATTATAGAGTCATTAGGTAATTTTGAAGCAAGAGACATCAAAAAGGAGGACCCACGCCGGTGTGCTGCGAAAAACCACGTGTGAAATGCGACACTTGGCTCGTAAGCCACATTTGACTGGTCTTGAACCCATTGCACATGGTAGGTGTGCATACGTTCCTTTCAAAGTGCTCGCCGTAGCGTCTGGTGGGACACATTAACAATGCTTGCGTGTTACACTGAGGTTATTCTCTCATATGCTGTAAATTGGTTTCCGAAAAATTTCGTGGCCGAATCGTACAGGCTCGACGAATGGGTCACTCCATTTGGAAAGCAGTGCAGACACTCGGATTTTCATGCACCACTGTGTAAAGGGTGTACCGTGAGTACGCCGAAACTATCCCTGCTAGGGTCAACTGCCATGAACAACAGCGTGTGGATTACCAAGGTCATCAGCGGCTAGCCCGCATTTTACAGCGGATAAACGGGTTGCAGTGTAACAGATCAGTTTAACGCTGGTGCACAGCAACATATAAGCTGCCATATCATACAAAACCATCACCTCTCAGTGGAATACAGGAGTCATCGTCCTACAAGAGCCCCTCTGCTGAGTGTACAAAATATTTCGCAACGATTAGCATGCGCACGGGAACATCGCCAATGGACCGTCTAGATGTGGAAAAATGTTGCCTACAGTGATGAGTTGGGATTCACTGTGGTACATGGCAATGTGTAAGCCATGTACCAAAAGTATAAGTAAGTACGTGTACAGCAAAAACCACATGAAGCGATAGATCCTTCCTTCCAGCAAGACACTTTTCAAGCTGGTGGAGGTGGTATTCTTGTCTAGGGAATACTCACATGAACTGAAACGGAAACCTTGATATGTGTGACATCGTCTCTCACAGGTGAACGTTACCGGAATATCCTTGATGACCACCTGCTCCTATATGTTAGTTTTCGACAGCCCACTACAGAGATTATCTTTTCCCAAGACAATATACCACGCCATCGCTCCCGAATTGTGTCGGAATGGTTGGAAAAACATTTCTCAGACCTGCCCAATTTTTCTGGCTCTAAAGGTGACCTGATCTGAATCCGACCAAACACATCTGGGAGGTATTTGAGAGAGATGTTGGAGCCATGTAATCTCCGTGAATTGTGGGAGGTTGTTCAGGAGTTATGGTTTCTCATCACTTTTAGTGTCGAGTCGAAGCCAAGACGAATCGCAATCATCATCAAGGCGAAAGATGATGCTACGCGCTACTAGATAGGTATACCTAATTCATTGCTTTTTAGCGAGCTCTATGTGTATATATAGTACAATAGTACAACTCTAATTATCCGAATCAATTGGGACCGGGCCCCATTGGGATAATCAATCCAATTATCCGAATTTTTGAGAAGAAAGTGTCTAGGTGCACTTTAATCAATTACTGTATGTACTGTATGTTGAAAATGGAAGAAAAAACTATTTTTTAAAGAAAAAGAGGTTTTTAATTAATTAAAATGAAAAGGCAACACTTTTACGTACATACTGTACAATACTTACAAGTGCTGAACATCTCGGTCAAAATAAGACTTTATCCGTTTTCGAACAGCCAAGTCACGCATCCGCTTGACTTCGTGGTCAACTCCGGCTGACGCTCCATCCGTTTCAACTCAGTTTCACGCCTGCAAACGCTTCATTGGCTGACGGTTCCGTATCTGCTTCAACTTCAGCATTAAGGTCACTTTATTTCTCGACACTTGTAGAGACATTAGGAATTTTGGAAGAAAGAGAACTGAAAAATTAGCAAACGCCTTCGCCGGGAATCGAACCACGGACCTCTGGAATACCGGCCAATCGTGCAGAATTACACCACGAAGCCACGTCAAGAAGGTGAGAGAAATACTTTATACTCTTTCTCCTCTGACACTTTCAATAAGTTCATCCATCATTTAGAATTTGACACCCAGGGTCTGACGAATCACACACCATTTGCTCCTTTTAATGTCTTAAATCGTTGATTGTCCAATACCGTAAATCTCAACCAACTTTTCATCTGTATCAAATACTATAATAAAGCTAGAATGATGTATAAAAGAAATTAAGCAAACAAAACAAAAAAGAAATAGTTTTTCACAGACGATTGAGTATTTCTCATTCAATTAATTCAGTTCTCACTTCTCAAAATATCTATATTAAAAATTACAGTAATCTTAAACTTAAGTAAACTTAATCTTAAGTAAATCTTAAACACTTATTTCCTCGAAAAAATTCCAGAAAGGATTAAGCATGATTAATTGGCAATAATAAATGAAGGCGTTATCTTTGTTGTTGCGAAGCTAAGTGTCTCTAGATTGGCATCCACTAGTCTGCTGTTTCAAATGTAAACAGTCAATGGCCGCCATAAAAAAAAAAGGCTTAGCGGCACTTAAACGACTTTAAAATTGCTGATAATTATAAAAATATTGCATACAGATTTACTAAAGGCATAAAAACCTTAACCGGAAGATAAGAACAACATAATTCAATTCATAATCAACATAATCAATAATTCAAGCAAAAAATGTACAATTTACAAACATATGCGAGTAAAGAAACTGAGATCACTGAGCTGGGTAACAGAGTGGATATATATACATATACATATTTATATACGTTTCGTGCGGCCGACTGCGACCAAAATACGAGGTGCACATCTACATGTTATAGCAGTCCTACATAGAAAATTTCAACGTTCTGTTTTTGAGTTATGCGAGGTACATACATACGTACGTACAGACACCACGAAAAATTTTCTTCAAAATTCATTTTAAAGCAGTTTTATAATTTTTTTTGGAGGGAACGAGTCTTTTATTCTGTCCTTACGTACAGATGTCACGCAAAAACATCATTAAATTGCATTCGATAGCGGTTAAAATGGATATTTTCGTTGAAATATGCTGCCTGACACTTTTCGCGAATACAATACTTCCTTTTTACTTCGTACAAGGAAGTAAAAAGAATTTGACAAAACTTCTATTTAACAGCAGTAACTCGAGTGGTAAAATGTGGAATAGAATTTTAACTCAGGCATGCGCTGTTACTAGAAAATTAGATTGTCTGTATTGATAAAAACATAATCATAATTCATTTAATATTAATATTGTAATTTATGATCTCGATATAATTATTAAGGTTTTAAGCATAATAATATATATATTTTCTGATTTAGATAATTCCTCTCAATTCTGGGTTTCACCAAACAGTAGCATTTACCAGCTAGAAGTTACCACACTAGGAACGACGCAAAGTGAATCAATTTCGACTTCAAATCACTGCGTTACTTTCAACGGAATGGTAAGTTTCTAAGTTTCTTATTAATAACAGTAGAAAAAAATTCTAATAAACGAATATTGCGATTGGAAAATTATAGATTATAGTTTAACTCCTCGAAGAGTTTAAAGTTTTAGAACGTTAAAATATATATAGAAAATTAAAACCTGTAAAACTTAAAAGGTTTAAAAGAAATTCTAATCTGCTGTTGGTATGCAGATTTCATTTTAATTTAAATACTTAAACTATATAAATAGTTAACTGCCTAGCTTATGCTAGGCAGATTTTAAGCTAGACAATTACAGACAGATTTGCATACTAATTTAAGCATTTGCCGTCCAGAAATTAAAACTGAAGAACATAACATCCTAAAATTTTAAATTTTTTAAGTTGAACTATTCAAAATGGCATAGCCAAACGATAGTTAAAAATTGAAGAAGAAACTTAATTATTCAAGATGTAGTCATGCATTCAGTGGAATTGCTTAAGCACAAGACTATTAAAAAAATTTCAAGTTGCGGTACTTTTGGATTTCCCAGGAACGATGTCCATTTATTGATAGCAATAAACACTTTAAAAGAGATTTCTTTCAAAACGATTTTTTTTAATCATAAGAAACTTTATCATTTATTTAGAATGACAAGGTGCCACGGATTGTACAGGACAAATCTCAGAATTTAAAGTTGCATGTTAAAATCAGAATTGGTGCTCAGCTATCTAACAGAAAAAACACAGATCAAAATTAAAACAAAAGCAAAATCAAAGCAACCTGATAACAAATAATAATAATAATAATAATAATATAAAGAAGCAGCTGAAAATTCTTTGCTCTTTTTCAAGGAGCAGTCAAAAATTTTTAACTGAGCCAGGTTGAATAAATAACTCAGAAGTAGATGCAAAAATAAACAACTTTAACGTAATTTAAATTAAAATTAAAAGCTATTCAAAGTTTCTTAAAAAATGGTATTAAAATTAAGTTTAAAAATTTTAATACTTTAAAATTAACCATAAAGACGTAATCTGCTCCTACCTAACCTAGAATAAATAATACTGTAAAAAATTTAACAGTATAAAGAATCTCAAATTAGAAACCAGGGAAACAATTGGACAAAATGAAAGCAGTTGGATAAATTAATATTTTTAACAAATATTGAACCAAAGAAAATGCAAATCTGCTGAAAAACATTTGGAAATTAAAAGTAAAATAGTTTTAAAGTCAAAAACTTAAGAAAAGGAAAATTAGTTTCGTTTCCTTAAATTTTGAGTTTAAAATCGTGGATGATTCATTACTGTAGATGTTACTGTTGATTCATTACTGTAGGTACTATGCAGTAACTTTAAAAGAAAACGTTCACGAGGTAAGCCAAAACAACCTCCTTTAGTAATATTGGTAGAGAAATGAATCGCAAATCAGGGCAAGGAAATGTGTGTTATGAATTATTGCCATCAAATCAGACAATATATTCGGAAAATACTGTTATCAAATGCCAATTTTAAAAGCAGAGTCGAAGCAAAGTACCTGGAACTGACCAATTCATCGTGATAATGCTCGGCACCACATTTATATGATTATCAGATAAAGACTTATTGAGTAAGGCTAGGAGGATTTGTATTCCTCCCTGCCATATTCCCAAGATCTTTTCTCTCGGATTTTTGTCTCTTCAGGTCACTTCAAAATTATCTAAACCGCCCGGAATTCGTTTCTTAGCAGATTGTCAAAAAGACTCACGATATGTTTTTTTATCTAATAATGTTTATATTTTTTAACCTAATAATTATTAATAAACATTTATTTTTTTTTTAAAAAAAAGATATTCTCCAGTTGGCAAAGAAAAAGCAGAAATCATAGAATAATATCGTGTTTATGTGATTCAATCAAACGTTTTTTGGTACTAATTCATTTATATTTATTATTAAAAACAGAAGAACTTTCCGGATAACCAAATATCACTGGGTAAATCAGAAGTCAGTTTGGAAAATCAGTGATGCTTTTGCGATAACTGATATCGTGAAAATTCGCAAAATCAATAATAAATTGATTAGTGCGTAGAGACATCAGGTTATTTTAAGCAGGAGACGTGAAATATGTGCTGTACCCTCAACAGGATTCGATCCTGGACCTCTTGAATAAGCGCCGAGTGTGCTACCGTTACACCACGAAGACATGCAGAAAGAAGAGAGAAAATACCTTATACATTTCCCCTTTTAAAGGGCGACTTGGGATTAAGGAACCCAATCGCTAAATCCTGGTGGTGAAGAATCATCATCCACCACCATTTTAATTCTGCTCTATGTAGAGTCATCAGGTTATTTAAAGCAGTGAAAAATGTGCAACGCCCTCACCAGGACTCGAACCTATACCTGTCGAATACGCACCGAGTGTGCTGCCGTTGCAGCACGAAAGTACAATTAACAACAGTGCGGAAAGGAGGAAGAAAATGTTCCAATTTTGTTCCACGTGAAGTCTGTAATCCCTTGGAAAAGAATTATGTTTTGGTTACTTAACTGGAGTAATATTTAAATTATAAATGAGAGTGACTAGTTTTTGATTTTCACCAAAGAAGATGGCACGTTGAAAAATTTGACATAATCAGCATAGATTTCTTTTCATGATAATACAAATCAAGTAAATGAAAAAAAAATGTGTAGGGTTTTTTTTATTTTATATAGCTAATTATTTATAATTTTAGCTTTTACTCTCACTTCTCTTTTTCGTTTTCCTACCAGAATGCAAATCAGGTTTGAGAATATTTAAAGTGAGGGTTTTGGAATTTTATGAGAAATCGTGTTTCTGCCTTTGGAGGCTACATTGCTAGGGTCCTGCTAGTTTAGGTAAGATTGTATTGTCTGTCATTTAAATTGTTACTCCGATGAGGAGATTTGAGCCAAATTTGCGTTAAATCAATTGTGTAGCTTTTGGCTACTAAGTTTTAAATTCGGAATTTACAGTTATTTTAAGTTACATCGATACCTGTGGTTGGCTAATGTTATCAAGCATGAGATGTGCATTTTATATTCAAAGTTCTGATTAAATTAAAAAGTTGTTTAAACCTTTTCAAGACTCAGTGGTTATTTCCAGACGAAGGTATAATTCCCTTTAAGTTTGTTAGGAGTTTGGAATTAGTTTATGCTTCCAAAGAAAACCAAACTCTATAAATAAGTACAAAACAACAACACATCAATTATCGGAAAGAAATATGTGGGATGATTTTGTTATGACTAATTGAAAATTCTAATGAAAAAGGAGCCAAGGTTACATAAAAAATTATCAGCGATATAGTTCCGAATTTAAATTTAATTTTATAGGTAACCGAATTTAATGTTACGCAAAAATAAAGAAATCTGCGCATTTACACTTATTTTTGGAGAAAATGGGGTTTTAATATTAGGCTTCTAAAGTAGTCTTAAAAATATATGTATTGTTGTAGTTAAAGTTTAATATGAATGGTAGCCTAACCTTGATCATCTACTAATCTTGGGCAGATAGTCATATTTTCTGAAAATAACATCCAGTGGCTTCCTTCACCTCTTCGTCTATCCTTCCGATAACTGGCTGCCATCTGAAGGGGTGGGCTTCTCACAGAGATCTTGGCCCTTCCTCGACCATTTTTTCCTCAACCATTCTGAAGCCATTAATGCTTGAGCTTGGCTTTGGCCTCTGAATACTTGTAGTTCCGATGTGGTTTCAAATCCTAGTTAATGGGTTAATGGTGTGTCTCAATGTGAGGTTTAATGGATTTCTTTATAGATGGGTAAAGTACATATTAACAAGATTCTCTTAAAAAGTTGTGCATGAAGGCATTCCTCCGCTTAGGCAGATAGCTCTCAAGTGATTTTCCTTACTCTAAATAATCCCAATTAAAATCCATCTACCCTTTTAGGTATCAGTGGTGGTGAGTTGTAAGTAGTTTGGTTTAAAGATATTTGGATGATGATGAAGCATATGCTTTAAGAGGAACAGACTCGTGAAAGACGTTTTAAGGGAAGCAGGTTCGTGTTTGTTTTACATAATGAGGTAAAACACAAAAACTCCGGTGCGATCAGCCCATTCACCGAGATTTGACATTGTCTGGAACTGTTAGTGTTCAGTGGGCTTACCAATCGGCTACAGATGGACTCCCTGGATAAGCAGATTTCTCATACAGGTTTTTCATCTTCCAGGGGTATTGGAAGATGCTGTCCCTTCTTTGGCCAAAAATTTGAAAATGAAGTAACTTTTGATACTGCCACATCTCTCAGACAATATTACTTTATCAAATTCAGTATAGAGTGTAGCAGAATCAGTAATTGCAGTCGGGGCATGACACTGAGAGAAAATATGTTGCAATATCCGAATAAAACTTCAACTGTGTTACTTTCCTCATTTGCCAATCGTACATCTGGACTTTGCTACTATAGTACACTTACCTGACTGCATTCTTACAACATTGTAATATTAACCAATCACAGTAGCAGATTAGATATGTTGGTGTTATTGATCAGTTACACATGTAAATACACAGAATAAATAAAGCACCCCGACTTTCTTAGCTTAATTTAATTCATAAGGTAAAAGTTCCATGAATGATCATAACCTGAAAAGGAAATTAAAATAATTCTAATTAAGTTTTTCATTTTAACTTTCTAAAATCTTGAGTACTAATCCTCTCAAGTCCGCAATGGACATGCTCGAAGAATTAATTGTGAAGATTAAAATAATGAGGACAGTTATAACCACTCAGGAAAGTATAATGTGATTTGCAGTGGAGAATTTGTTTTTTTTCTTCAAGTTGTTTTTTCACCTCCGAAGGTTAGGGCTTTCTCAGAAGTATCTATAGACTTCATTTTATTTCTCCCAGAAAATATTAGAAATTATCAAGACCTTAAAATAAAAATGTCTTCTTTATTTTACAGTTAACACGAAAAATTATTTTGAAATTTTCATGAATTATGGGTAAATGAGATCATCATCATCATCATAAGGGCACAGCCTCGATCCTCATAGCTGGCCGTATGATGGGTAACTGAGTAATTATGTGGTAAATGAAATATTAATCTTTTAGGTTCATCGCTTGCATACTTTTAATATACATGAAGATAAGAATAGCTCGTCCTTTTACCATACTGCCCATTTCGAGAGAAAACTTCCTATTCCTAGTTTTGTTTGCAAATGCACTTGAATCTAATACATTTACCTCATAAATATACAGATATGTTTGCGTATTGAAGAGAAGATCTGGATAGCTCTTTGAAAATAATAAACAGTTAGGACTGTATGGACATCAAGCTTGAAAAGTTATAAGGTATTTTCTCCCTCCTTTCCGTATGCCTTCGTGGTGTAATTGGAAGTACACTCGACGCGTTCGAGAGGTCCAAGAATCGAGTCTCCGCGAGCGCATTGCACATTTTCCTCGCCTTCTGTTTCAAAATAAACTAATGACTTACTGACTCTTCTTTCAATGAAGAAAATTTTGAAAAAAGACCTGGCCAATATACTGAGCATAGCAATTTTTTCAAGCTACAAATATTATGGTTGCCGATATTATGGTCATTACATTATGGTCCATAAACATTATTATCTATTAAAGATGCCATCCTAGTTCTAAAGGGTTAGAAAAAATCAAAAATTTCAAGCAAAGAACAAAAATGTACATTAAATGAAAAAAATTAAATATGAGTAAAGTTAGACTAGAAGAGAAACACGCTAATGTGACAATCAAAATCGTAAAATAGCGTAAGTATATTGAAACACTCAATCGATTTCGAGGGCAGTTAAGAATCCCTCCTCATCAAGAGAAAGAAATACCTAGAAAGAAGAAAAATAAAGGAATCAAAGTTCAAAATTATGGATATTTAAACATAATTTTGACTTCTGGTCTGCAAAAATTATCCAAAAGGCTTCTTCCATAGGTGAATTGGATTTTCTTGAGGCTTTTCATATTAACAAAGATTTAGCATGTTTAGTTAATGATTTTAAGTCCAATCCAGTCCTTCCTAATGCCTTTAAAATTCTACTATCTTAATTCAGTTACTATTTTTGCCGATAGATGGCGTTACCTCCTCGCGTTTGGTACTACAGAGGGTATAAAAATCCGTTCAGTGGTTGCTTTCCATTATACTATTTATTAATCGTAAACTCTTTCCTATCCGCTTTTTGCTTTAGTGTTTGTACTGTGTATAAAAAATTTTTAAAAAACCAAAAAAAAAAAAAAAAAAAAAAAAAAGTATAAAATATAAAATACAAAAAAATTTTAAAAACCTAAAAACTTATAAAAAAATTATGATACTTAAGTTTTTATATTCTCATCTCTATCCCTAAACTTTCTCGAGCCTGTGGCTCCCTCTATTGAGCATCAAGTAAATCACTTATGCTAAATTTTTCCTATTTCTGCTCGCTTTTAGTAACTCTGATGTGGAGGTAAATGGTTTTGAACCATAGGCACTCCGAAATTTTTAAATCATTGGCATTGGCTTTCCATTATTGGAAGTTCAGATTTTGAGCGGGAAGGTGCAGTTGCCCCTCGCTCCCTATTTTTAACTTCGCTAATTTTCTTGTCCTTTGTGTTACATGTTTGATCAAATAGCCTGACTCAGTAAAAGCAGGCGGCCAGTGTAACTCTGATTGAAAATCCGGTTGTAACCACGTGCAGTGCTGATAAGGACCACGTGTTTCTGAGACTCCTTCCCCTTTATTTTTCTTCTTTCTAGGTATTTCTTTCTCCTGATGAGGAGGGACCATTAGCTGCCATCGAAATCGGATTGAGTGTTTCAATATACTTACGCTAAATACAAAGTTGTATTTACGATTTTGATCTTCCGATTTGTTCTTCCGATTTTGTTAGTGACGAATAATGATGATGTCAGGATGATTCAAGTGCTGGTTATGATACCATGTTTATTGTTTTGACTTAACACTTTCTGAATAACCAATATTGGAGAGACAAATTTTTAAATTTCTTGTTTATATTGAACTAACGGAAGTACCCGATGTTAGTTAAGTTAGATTGAAAGTAATGCATCTGACAACAGAGAGAGCGATACCGCTGTAATCCTTCTCTAATAACGATGCAAAAATACGATTCATAGTCATACATGTTTCAGTCTGATGCGATATGGAATCCACATAAAAAATTTCCATAGAAAAATAAACTAATTCTCTCTCATTATATCAGCAACAATGGCACGCTATTTGTAATTATTTTCATCTTTATAATCAATGGTCTTAAAAACTCAGGTTCCATCCAATATTTCACTTATATTAAATTTTAGTCGATTAACTGCGGCAAAACATTTATCATAATTAATCAGAAAGCAATAACGCGAAGAAACAAACAAACAGACATTCTTCCTCATATATATAGATTTAGTAAAACTTTAACAAATTTATATTAACAAACTCTACGATTTGAAAGCGAACAGAGCAACACTTTTCTAAATAAAGCATTTTGATTTCCAACGCGAGAGAATGTTGCCACTCGGGAAAATGAGTGCGAAAATTAATTAAATTTTCGAAGTTTTTAATTAATATCTCGGCTGATTAAAATCGTACGCAGTCGAAATGGCTTCCCACGAATTTTTGAAATGGGGAATAATGTATTTAATGTTTGGCAATGCTATTTTTATTTAATTGAAAAACTTAGACATTTTTTATTAACAAACTCTATGATTTGAAAGCGAGCAGTGGCAACAACTTTCGAAATAAAGCAGATTTTCATCTCCAGCTTGTGAGACTGTTGCCACTGGCTAAAATGAGGGCGAAAATGATCGTTTTTCTGCGTTTTTAATTAATATCTCTGATTTTAGTTATTTTTTTTCTCGAAAAAAGTGACATCGACCTTTTCCAGGATCCAGGAAATAATCGTAGAGAGTTTGGCGACGATAGCTAAAATAGTGACTGAGTTATTAGAGGACAAACAAACATACTTTCTTCTTTATACATATATAGATTAAGATATCTTAATTTTAATAAAATTATCAATTATTAATTTTTCAGTGTTTAATGAAATAAAATATTCATGTATTGTTTTTACATATTTTTTATAGGTACTAAGTGAGAAACTTTGTTATGAAGAACTTAGGTATATATGTGAACATGATTTAATAGTATACAAGACTAAACTAAATTGTCTGCCGGATCGAAGTCGGGTAAGATAAACATTTCGTTCATTTAATCTTCATATTTGTTTCTCAGTTGCATAAATTATGTCTCAAAAAAGATCTTTTATTTATATTTCTTAATTTTTCTGTTGCATTATGGAAATAACGGATGGCATCAGCAAGTACATCATAAACGAAAGTGTTAAAAGAAAGAAATATTGAATACCATAATTTTGACAGTTAAATATGTCTTCTTACTAAATAATGAAATATCCCTAGTGGGCCATGGCCCTGCAGTGCTCCGAAATCTGCTTTCCTGAGGGCCCGGGATGCGTGATTATATGCCTTGAACAAATGGTCAGCTTGTCGCAGGACCCCCGGCTTTTAGTCCTTAAGCGAACTCGGCATCGGTACTCATTTTATTGGCTCAATCAAGGGATTGAAAGGCTAATTTAATCTTACTCAATCCAGGGATTGAATACCGAACCTGTGGTGCTGCTGGGAAACGCACTAGCCACTGCGCCACCGGTCCTTATATGTCTTTTTACTACATTCAGATCTGAAAATATGCAAACCAATGATATTCCGAACTGGTTTTTAGATTTGGCAACACAATAGCGTGATTATTGTTCGCTTACTTCCAAACCTTTCTTTTGAATTGTTGAATCGAAAAAAAAAAAAAAAAGTTGGATTCGACAACACAAAAGTAGCATGATCACTAGCCGATTCCCTTCAGACTGTATCTCGCATAACTCAAGAACGAGTAACTGTAGAAAGTTGAAATTCTATATATGGAACCGTTATAACATGTAGTTGTCACCTGCCATTTTTGTTGCAATTGGCTTCACCAATCATATATAAATATACATATATATATATATATATATATATTGTTTCATAAGAATAAATTGAATTTAATTAAAAAAATTAAACATAAATATAAATATAAATACATATTCAATTATATATTCTTTGCGCCATTGCTGCAAGGAATGAAATTTAAAATATGCAATTTATTTATTGCAATTTATTTATGAAATTTAAATTTAAACAAATTTAAATTCTTAACAAATACGTATAAAAGTAAAAAAGCAAATTTAAATTCTAAAAAAAAAAAAAAAAAAAAAAAAAACCCGAAATAATTTAAAATAATTTTTAAAAAAATGTGCAAAAATGTAAAAGATTTAATTCTCGAACTAATCTACAATATCATTTAAATTCAGAAGCATAAGCAAATCAAGTGCAAAATCTATCCATGAAAATAAATCTACTAATTTAATAAATTAAAATTAAATGAAAATTAAATTAAACAATTTTAAAAAATGCATATGTGAATGACCGTAGAGTAGGCAGGAGACAGACTTATCAAGGGGAAGTTGCCTCCAAACCTAACTCCCCAATCATTCAATTCGTGTTTCGTCATTCATGCAGGCAAGGGTAAAATTCAAAACAAAAAGTAATTCCAATAAAGTGGTACCCTTAGAAATTAACATTTAAGTATTAACATTTAAGAGTTAAAGTTCAAAAAGGAAAATACTAATGAAGTCTTTTGAGTAACAAGCAAGTAAAGTCAATTAAATTTGTTTAAATATATATATATATATTCTCACTCTGTTACGTGGCTCAGTGAGCTTAGTTTTTTATTCTTATATGTTGGTAAATTGAGAATTTTTTTAGCTTTAAAAGTGATTAAATTATGTTTTTTTTATGTTCCGGTTAAGATTTATATGCCTTTATTTAATCTGCATGCAATAGTTGTAGAATTGTCAACAATTTAAATGTTGAAATGGTGAGTTAAACCTAACAAACGGCCATTTGTTTACATTGGAAAATCAACAGAATAAAGAATTTAGTCAGTTTCTGCACCTTTCAATGTCTTTTTGCAGAGAGGGATCAAAAATAAACTTTCAGTTTCGTGCACGAAAAATATCTGCCTTCTTGCCCGGAGGCCGAATTGCAATGTTTTGCGTAGAAACTAATTTTAATTGTAAAAAAATGTTTTTAAACTGCTTTAACGGTGTATGGTTTTTATGTTTTTCTGTATTTAAAATTTTTAATGAAGATGTTTTGAGTTTTATACTTTGCCGCGAAGTGAGAACTGAGTTGAATGAATGAGAAATATATTTCTAAGAAATTCGAGGAAATAAGTTTAAATTAAATTCAGAAGAAGATGGGTATGATTTAATAGGCCATACATGAAAGTCATGTGTACAGACTTTTTTATATTTTTTGGTATGGGAGAAGATGGTCCTTTACACTCGTCGCTTTGTGTTTTAGTTTCTGGGTTGTATCGTAGAACATAAGGTCTCATCTCCCACTAAGATGCACTTTAAGAAATTATCCTGTCTCGCAACACTCAGAAAATCTTCACAGAAAGCTTTTCTGCCATCTTTTTGTTATTCTATGAAAGTTCGAGGCGGAAATCTACGGGTAGCACAAACTTTCCACATTTTCAGATTTTCAACTAAAATTAAACTATAGATTTCTTTGCTTGCCAGAAGTATGTCTGAAAGTTGCTGATCTTTTGTACACGTATCAGCTTTTACCAAAGAACGATTATTCTCCACATTTTCCTCATTCTTTGAAGTTGGACAGCACCTCTCCTCCAAATACCGTTGTAATGCCGCGATTATCGTGCAAGTAATGCACGACGTGTTCCGACTGTCCTGAAGTGGTGTTCCACTGTACTGTGGTGGTACCTGAGTCCAAGACGAACTGTCGAGAGTGTAGACGGGAAAGTGACCATGGTCACGTGAGCAGGTGATAACATCGGATTGGCTGGGTCCTTACCTATTAAAATTAGATGAAAAACGCAAAATTTCCTACCGTTGGTTCATATTCAAAGCTTTCGCGCGTACATTTAAAGCGGTTGTAGCACTCATACATTTGTGTTCTTGATAACGATGCAAACTGTCTTTAACAGGAAATGAGATGTTACTCTTTCTAAGCATAATTTATTCTTTCACTTTTTTATTTTATCATTTTTTCTTTTAATTTGTCCGGTTACTTTATGGGCGCACCTTGTAACTTCCAGAAACATTGTGAACTATTCATAAACCATCAACTAATGCATTTTCCTAACTACAATGCTGTGAAAACACCAGTTTATATCAATGAGATAAAATAACCTCAAACTTCAGTACTACGGTTTACCGTACACCTTCATCGGTTTGCCTTCCCCCACACGTCAAATCATGTCATCCGACTAAACAAAAGTTAGCTTCATTTTATTTCTATGTTTTCCGTGCACTTCAAGTTTGCTCCAACTTGGCCCTTGATCAAGAACTAAATTATTTAAAAGCAGTAGCTATTGACAGGGGCTTTTCACCCAACATTTATTAATCAAGCAGTTCAAAATTCTCATCTCAACACAACAAAAGGCACACTCTTGTTTTAGGAGATTATCAGACTTCTGTTGTCATTCCTTTCTTTCCATCAGTTAGCTATAAAATTGCACATATTTTACATAAATTTAACTTTCGGTCGTTTATTCTCCTATCAATAAAATTCAGAGTTCCTTACTCAAGGATCCCATTTCGGACATCAACTGCTTGGGTGTTGTTGAAGAACAACACCCAAGTAAAGAGTTGAAGTTCCTCGGGTGTCGTTCATGTTGGCAGAATTCCTTGCCAGTGTGGTTTAATTTACATTGTCCAAACTAAGAGAGCCTTAAAATTTTGCGTTAAGGAACATGAGGCATATGTTAGAAAAAAGGAAACACGGAAGTCCTCTGTTACCCAGGCATTTGTTGGTCCGAAAATCCCACTTTCAATTTTTCTGCTGCTAAAATTACTCAACAAACATCTTCCATTGGTAAACTGGATTTTCTTGAGGCATTTCACATTCAAAAAATCTTTCTGTTCTAGTTAATGACCCTAAATCCAATCCATCTTTGCCTTCAGCATTTAAAGAAATTTATGTTTTAGTTCTGGTTTCATCAACAGATGGCGCCAGTAGCTTGGCTCCTGTGCAGGCTTTCTTATCTTATCTTTATATCTTATCTCGTTCATTTGCCCTTTTGCAGCTGAGGATGATAGTCGGTAAAACCATCGAAACTAGTCCTGTGAAATGCAATGAAAAATTTTTTTGCAGCCGAAATTATTCAAAAAACATCTTGCATTGGTGAAATGGATTTTCTAGAGGCATTTCACATTAAAAAAATCTTTATGTTCTAGTTAACGACCCTAATTCCAATTCATCTTTGCCGTCAGCCTTTAAAGAAATTATGTTTTAGTTCTGGTTTCATCAACAGATGGCGCCAGTAGCTTGATTCTTGTCCGTTCTTTCTCATCTTTTCTCATCTAGTCACTATATCTTATCTCGTTCTTTTGTGCTTTTTCAGCCGAGAATGATCTTTCGGTAAAACTATTGAAACTAGTCCTGTGAAAATTTGCAAATATAACGCTGATTTTTGTTCTTTGAATTCTAAATTAATACCTGTTTATATGTTCTTGATATCCGTATATTAAATTAGTTAAATTCCATTGCTATTTTTGACGAGTCTGTTTTCTCACCGTTTAATGTTATCTTTTGGTTAATGTTTGTCAAAATAACAGTGAACATTGTGATCACATAAAGTGGCGCCTACTGTATACTCAAAAACCAAAGTTTAGAAACAATTTTGTCGCAATGACGGAACTTGAAGATTTCTTTCCAAATTGGTAACATTCTGGATATTTTCAAAAAACACGTTTTTGAAAATCTAAGAGCGATTTTTCTGGAGGATTTCAGCACTGCTGAAGTTCACTCTATTCATCTAGGAAAGAATTTTATTTCGACCCAGTTAACACAGCTTCTTTTACACTCTTGAGCTTTGTAATGCATGACAAATGCTTTGCATTTTAAACTGCTAACGATGGTGGAATATAAAAGCCATTATGTTTTTTTAGTTTATCATGGGCACTTTTATTATTCGTGATATAAAATTGTAGATTTATTATGTAAATAGAATTATTTAATCTGTTATTCATACTAATCTAAAGTCCATCAGCGGCCAAGCGGTAAAAGTCGCTGAATGCTAGTCGTTTGATTTGGCTTAGATCTAGATGAATAGTCTGACAGCATGATTGGTTTTCGTGTTTTTCCCCATTTGTAACTTGAATTATAGCCAGTTTCCTTCAGAAAATCCTCTTTCCTCTAAGGCAGGTAGACCTCGTGGCTATGTCACATTCAAAGTGCCTAACCTAACCTCGTTTAACCACCCACCTCGTTTAACCATCCTTGTCACCTCGTTTAACCTCGTGTAACCATCTTCGTTTAACCTAACCTCGTTTAACCACCCAATTAGATGTTAAGTTATTTTTGTCCTTTTAGTTACCAATAACCATATTATTGCAATTATTATCATACCCATTTTAAATAAAAGTCTTTTGTGTAAATTCTTTTTTAATTGTATTTTATTATAATTAATAAACAGATCTTTGTTATTTTTTCCCGTCGACAGGCCTCATTTGTAGGAGAAGAGACTGGTCATTGCCTCTTTAGATCCCTAGGAAAAGTAGTGAAAGAGGAAGCAGATGCCATATGCCAGCAAGATAATGCACATGCCATCGATCTTGACGATATGTGAGTACAGAGGTATAAAATAATTCTTCTGGGATGAGGGTATTTTTAATACGCAAACACGCACAGATGCTAAAATAGTCGCACGCACACACAAATTAACAATAAAATTTTTTTTTCTGGGTTTAGTACCACTAAGTATTTGTACGAATATCGAATATTTAGAAGGTAATTGTTTCGTGATTAACCGTAACATAAACCTTGCGTTAATACGAGCATTTTTATAACGCTTAGACAATTTAGCTCTGAAAGTCTTGATATGTGAAAGTAATTCCATTTATATTTCAGTTAATGAGTAAGAAAAAGTATCTTACAACAGAATCGTAGCAATAGTAGATCAGATTTGATCTTTAATGATAGACTCTTATGAAGACCAAATGAGTTCAATCTCGTCATCAAGCAGAAATTATTAACAGATATCAAATTTCTTAGTTGGTAGAATATTTATTTGCAGTGATTACGATGTGATTCGAGTTCTTGACGGAACCATAGTCTTTAAAACGGTGCTCATTTAAATTAAAGCTCTATAAGGCACAAAAATGTTTAGCTTGCTCTTGGCAATTCCTTTCTAAATAGAACTGAGGAGTGAAAGAGCGCTTCTGGTAACATCAGAGCCACGTTACTGTGCAGAGACATTAGGTATTCTTTTTGAAGCAGGCAAGATGAAAAATTAGAAACGCCTTCACCGGAAATCGAACCACGGACCTTTGGAATACCGGCCCATCGTGCAGACCACCATACCACGAAGGCAGGCTAGGAAAGCGGGAGACATACCTTATAACTAAAGTTGATCGTAAACTAAGTATTCAAATCTGGTTAAAGGTTGTGTACGTCTGAGGTGGCAAGAGCACCCATTTGCGAAGAGGATGTCCTAAGTTGCGATTCTAGTTGCAACTCAGTATTGTTTCCAGCGGGAACTCAACATTGATTCTAGCTCAGCGGTCGTCAAACCTTAGAACTTCATGGACCACTACATATATAATTTTATGTTTGGCGGACCACTAATATGAATTTAAAAAAATGTAAATGCATTTATACAATAATGATAAAAAAAAACTACACATATTTCGTTCACATTGAAAATTACATGAAAAGTACAAAAATCTTACCTTCTTGTACAGAAAGCTTCACATTTCCATATCACTGAAAAGTAACTTCACGAAAAGCAAGAACAAACCGGCAAACGCAAAGCGACATCAATAAACTGGCAATGTTATGCCGCCAGTTTTTAATTATTGTAAATATAATAATCATCGCTTACTGAGCAGTGGCGTCTCGGTCAACAGTTAGACAAAACAAAAACGGAAACTTCCAGTGATGCTATTATAAACAAGAATGCATATGGTTCTCATAAAAATCCATCAAGATGCCTATTGACACGTAGAAAAACTGTTATTAACGACCACAATATCATATGTTTGTAATTCAAAAGGAAAGAGAATTCCAGTTCGCCTGTTTTTGATAACAGCAGCATGTCCATGTATGCCATCTCTCACTTTCAAATGTCTCTAGATACACCTGCTAAAAAGTCGCTAAATTCAGAAGGAATTTCGCTAAAAGTAGTAGCTAAAATAAAACAAAAAGTAAAATCCATATTCCATAATAGATTTTGTTACTCGTCATGTTTTAGTCTGAATCATCATAAAAATACAGATAATGTACCAATTTTTCTGCGGACCGTCAAAACGTTTTCACGGACCACGGTTGGCAACCGCTGTTCTAGTTGGAACTCAAGCTTGTTTCTGTTTGACCGCTTACTAGATAATTTAACCATACATACATAAATACTATGGTATTCAAACTTCTGAATAAGTCTTTTTAATCTTATTTATAATGCTATTTATTTACAGCATGAGAGATGGTTTGCTAAATTTTCAAGAGACCCGCGTGATGGCGAATGATGGTTCGGAATACTGGACAGGTCTTACTTGGCAGGATGACAAAGTAATATGGAAATCTGGAGATGAACTTGATAACTTCAACTCCAATGCTAGGTACCTAGAAATTCATCGAGGTAATCTCTTTATCTTTTTTAATGTTCGGGCATTTTAAAGGAAGTTAGAAACTAACTATCAATAAAATAATTTTATACCTAAAAGTAACTGTTCTCAAAGCTTTGTTTAAGGATAAAATAAGTTTACAAGTGCAGTTGTAAACTTATTTTATCTGCAAGTACTAAAGCAACGGTCCTCAATCTAAAGCTGCGGCATTTGATTGCTTTGTGATTGTATTCGAAAAAGTAGTTTACGAAATTTATGAAAGCCTTTTTAATGGACCTAAAAGTAGGCTGAATTACTTGAAGATATCGAAGAAGTGATTTCCATTTATCTGCTAGAAAGAAAGGGCAGAAATTTGGAGAAGTAGATCATAAACTATGTTTGACGACAATAAACCAACGCACTAATTTTTTTCAGCTGAACCGTTTTTACCTTACAACGGTCATTATTGTATTTCAGGCACCATATTTATTTGCAGTATAGTCTCATGTAATGATTTAACGATTTCTGTTTCCAAGCCTCGAATGCATTTAAAAGAGATCTTTTGCTTTCAACTGGCTGAAGATCTTAAACACTTAGGAAAAAATGTCTAAGGTAAGTGATAAGAAATCACTTAGGTTCATTTTATTTGATTCCTTTAAAGATATATTTAGTAATAGGAAAATATTTGGCAGCTGTCTGTAAGTGGCTAAGAGAAATATTTCAAATAAGAATAATTTAAGACAATTTCTGATGAAATTAAAACAATTTTCCGATTTTTACGTTTTAGTATTCTGAAAACTTTACATTGCTTTGAACTGTTTCATTAAATTTTTTGTTTCAGTTCTTGTAAACACTTCTTAAACAATATTTTATTCCACGCTGTTCTTCTTACATGATTTGAGTTAACTTTGTGATATTACTATGCATTTGATTCGGAATTCCAGACCGGGGACACTGCGTCACCGTTCAGGTCAACTTCACGGATTTGCTGGAAACTCATTTGCATCAGACAGATTGCGAAGATTTAGCATACGTGGTGTGCGCAAAGGATCTCGGCGCAGGTAGCACGACTTCAAATCCCTTGACGACTTCAAATCCCTTGACGACTTCAAATCTCTTGACGACTTCACCTGCGCCACTTCGCTGCCCATGGCTGAACGCATGGAAGAAATATCCTCTCACTCAAGAGTGCTTCTGGGTGAGTTTGAAATTCATTCCTACATTTGCGAATTTCAGTATTTAGTGACGTTAATTTAGTTATAATTTAAATTACCACGAAGCCTCAAACCACAAATTTTCAGCATAATCTAGAAAACACGACAGCTTTTGAATTTCAGTAAAAGAATAACTTTAACTTCGATTTATTGAATTAGGAAACGAATTTTATATCTGCTCTGTTATCTTTATTTGGTCAAATTTAGTTGCCTTCTTTTTCGAGCTAATTTCCTAACTCATGGAAGTATCCATATTATTAGTCATGGAAGTCATATTTTTTCTGCAACTCATTGTTTTTTTTTCTCTGGATGACGCAAATCTCCGTGGCCGGATGCAAAAATAGGAACAGCATCTTTTTTAATTCGCTCCGCCAGAGCAGAGTGATTATGACTGCTGAATGCTAGTAGTTCAACCTGAGCTCGAACCCTGGTGAACGTATAGAGTCTGTCTCTCTTATTCCACATAAACTAGAATAGACCATATAATGACCTGGCGAATTCTCGCACAGGCGTGAATAAAACTACTGACTCAGACGAAAGGTAAAAAAATAACCCTTTATTAATTCAAATTAGTTATCAGAAGGGCACGGACTTCGTGCGTTACAAAGACACCGTCAACTTGCGGTGGAAACTAAAACGTAGTGTACTATATAAGTCAAACCTGAAATAAAAAGTGCAAGATCGCACTTAAATTACGCCTAGGAGGTGGACTCACAGGAATCTAACCGGCGTGATACTAAATTGATAAGGACAAGAGGCTTACTATCGTAACAGCGAAATAACAACGAAACGTGCGGTTGGCTAGAGAAACACGCTCTGAATAAGTTATTCACACGTTCAAATAAGTACTTAACTTTAAATTTACATCGTGGCGAGAGAATGTGAGGGGAAATTGAGAAGTCTAGAATAGATATCAAACTTAAAATAAATTTGTTATACAAAATAAGCAAAACCCTACAAATGGACTAGCTGGATGGCTGGTTTTCGTGGTTTTCCTAAGTATAACGTGGATAGGAGACAAAATCCTTCGGGAAGTCCTCCACGAAGGCAACTCTCCCCTTAGACAGGTAGCCCTCGTATACTCTGTTATATTCAAACATCCAGTTATCTTTTCATATCTCTATTCACATAAAATAGATCCTCACAATAGAAATGAATAAACCAGTTGTTATATTACAGTTTTATTAAAGATTAAAGGGACATGTATAAATAGACACTTTATGTTAACTCTTTTAAGTGACGTCCATTGAAAGATAATTGATTAATAGCTGAAGGTCAATGTTTTTACGTAGTCCATTGAGATTTCACCTTCGCTACAGAGAAATATGAAATTTTGGCGCTCTTTGTTTCCGCAACTGTTGAAAGAAATGCAAGGGGGCAGTGCTTAAAATTCTAATTTCAAGATTATATCAGTAGTTGGATAAAATTTCGTATGTACATGTCACTGAGAATGAAAAAAATATTGACGGATTTTGAAAAATGCGCGCGTTTGGGAGAATAGAAGTACAGCAAATACTGACTCTGGTCTATAATGATCTAAAAATCAAAAGTGTCATGTCAGAAATCTGGAAACAGTTTAAAGACACTGAAGATGTGTGTAGACAACCGGATCAAGATTGAAAATCTCAGGACTCTAATTTGTCCATGTCTGCTAAAAGAAATGGACAAATGACATCAGCCCAAGTTTCGAAGACGTTTACTGCAGTTACAGAACTTTAGCCATCAGGATATATCTTAAGCGACAAGCTGCATGAAAGGTGGCTATATGCAAGGAATCCCATGGTTTTGCAATGGTGTATAAATCATTGTGATTAAAGTACTTCAGACTAAAGCTGAGCTCCCTAACTGTTGAGTCTGGTTTTGTGTTCGTAAAGTTTTACAGTTTTATAAGTTCTTACAGTTTGAAGACGTGTTACAAATGAGCAAAACACACGCAATTAACCTGAAAACATCCGTATAAGGCATCAGAACAAAGGTGATGGTGTTGGTGTATTAATTATGGCAAAGCACACGAGGGCTATCTGCCTAAAGGGAGGGATGCCTTTCGTGGAGGACTTTCTAAGGGAAACTGGCTCGTATACACGTTACACATGGGGAAAACCACGAAAACGCCCATGCAGCCAGCCCGTTCGCGGGATTCGAACCTCAGACCGAACTACCAGTGTTCAGCGTCTTTACCGCTCGGCCGCTGGTGGGCACAAAGGTGATGGAATGAATCAGCATCTGAATGGCCACATTGACATCAATCTTGAGCCTGCATCTGATGGCTGCATTGACATCAATTGCATGAGCCCGCATCAGTCTGAATGGCGGCAATGACATACACACTTTTATCAAAATAAATATAAATGTTTAAGTATGCAAAGATGAGGCCCTTGATACTTATGTCAGGTTCCTAAGCAGGGCTGTCGGTAATAATGTCCTTTAATGGACGATAATGCTTCTTCCTTGTACCGCTGCCTTAATGATCAAGAAGTAACTAGGAGTTAAAATGCACAAAACTTCTCACTGCAATGGCCTGGCTAACACCTCAAGAAACTCATAACCAATGAATCTAAAGCTGATTGACGGAAATAGCCGGACAATGCCAAACAAGGTAGAAGGGCCTATCAACTGTTCCCAAAAGTAGGCACTGCACTCAGTTCAATAAGAAGAAAGTAACGTTGTTCATATAGGGACATGACCCCTTTCTCACGTACTTCTATGCAAGGAACTTAGCTATATCATATCAATGTGTACACGGAAAAAGAGGCAACCCCGAACACTACTCATTTAAATGCTTCCTCACAGCTAAACATCGTCTTAAACTTCCAAACTCTCAAAGTGAAATAAATCCTTTTATAATGTATGCTGTCAAGAGCAAACATCTCAGAAAGGAAATCATAAATATAATGAACTTCCTGTCCACAAGAGGCACGGAGCTATGCAAGATAACAACTCCTGACGGGACCCCTTGTTGGCCCTGTGAAGCGTAGTTAGTACGGCTGGACAATACCTATACTGCCTATGGTTAAATAATGAGTGTCCACCACACTTAATCATATCCATATCTATTTCCAAACGTTCGGAGGAGATACGAATTTTAAACACTCAGATGTTTGCCATCGGTTAGAGTTTTCAACGATATGTCAGATTCTGAAATGATCTAATATTATGGATACTTATATGGATACTTATATGATATTATGGAACTTTTTTCGAATCTTTAAATATAATTAAAAATTAAATTATATACATATAAGTATCTTGAAATTTAATCTACATGTTTTATATCTAAATTATTAACATTTTAAAAATTTATTTTAGTTCTGGGATTTTGCGCTTATGATTTCTTTTCAAAATTTAATTTAGTTTTTATATTCCATTTCAGCTTCAAGTTAACTGTAACCAAAATATTATTATAATTCTTAGTAAGGAAACAAAGTTTCGTCAGCACAGTTAGTTCATGCTCTCAATGGAAAATAAATCTATGAAAATTTGTAAAATTTGTCAGAGGAATTCCAGTATGCAAATTATTTGGAAAAGAATCCAAATTCTCATTTAAATTCAATTCGACAGCTGCGCTTTGTACTGTGTTGTATTTAACTTTCTTGGTAGTTTTATAAGGTATTTCTCCCACTTCCCTAGCAAGTCTTCAAGGTGTAGTGGTTCTGCACACTGGGCCGGTATTCCAGAGGTCCGTGGTTCGATTCCCGGCGAAGGTGGCTGCATTTTTTTCATCTTTCCTGCTTCCAATTAACCTAATGACTTTATAGTTTGAAGTGATAACTACTGATTGTGCTTTGCTATACTGGCAATACAGCCGTACGAGTAATTTTGTAGAAAGTTCCAGAACAGTAAAGAGTTTCTTGTGACAAAATAAATTTTATCAAGTTATCACTGGCTTTAGACGCATTCAATCCATTACAAACCCGTACGCATACAACAATATTTTATGATGTAGTGTTTCGCTAATGACATTTATTCTGATAAAAATTATGATGACAACTTATGAAATAAAACACACATTTTTAATTTTAATTTCGAAATTGATTCTTCATTTTGTACTTTTTGATTAAAATTATTATGATTTATAATTTCATGCAATGAGTAATTAATTTCTACTTCATAATGTGGTGTACAGTGGATGGACAAAAATATGGAAACACCTTGTGAAATGCATGTTTGAAAAGAAAGATTGATTTTAATGAAATATGTAGGTGGCGCTGGCATTTTTGACTACTGTCGCCACCTATACAACTTCGTAAATGTCTAAACAGTTCAGTTGTTTTCCGAGTACTGTTATGTGAGGTTGTCATTGCATTATGTCAGAGTTAACAGACTTCATGGTATGGTAGGTGCTTCCGTAAGCAAGGTAGCCGAGGTGTTTAGTGTTTCAAGAGGTACTGTATCGAAGATTTATTCCGCATATTTGAAAAGCAGAAAAACATCATCTGCTAAATCACAGCGTGGACGAAAGTGTGTCCTGAGTGATCGTGACAGATGATCATTAAGGGCAATTGTGACGAAAATTAAGAAGATCACAGCTGCAAAAGTTACTGCTGAAATGAATGTTGTGTTACCGAACCCTGTGAGTACCAAAACAATTAGAAGGGAGCTTCATAAACAGGGAATTGTGCTCCAATTGAGAAGCCACTCATCAGTGATGCTAATGCCCGTAACAGGAAAAGGTGGTGTTTAAGTCATAAAGCCTGGACTATAGAGCAGTGGAAGTGAGTAATATGGTCTGACGAGTCTTCTTTCACATTGTTTCCCACTTCTGGCCGAGTTTACGTCTGGAGAACGCCATCTCAAGCCTATAATACAGACTGCTTGTAGCCAAGATTGAAACATGGCGGGGGTTCTGTTATGGTTTGGGCAGCCATATCGTGGTTCTCTGCTAGCCCCATGATAACTGTGTCAGGGCACATGACTGCCAAGACTTATGTGAACATTTTGGACGATCACGTTCATCCCATGGTACAAACTTTGTTCCCCGATGGTG